ATTAACTCTCTTTCGAATGATATACTATTAACGGAGTTAAATAAAATTATTATACATATTTACAAGAATAATAGGCAATACAGAACATATTGAAATTTTGTAGAAAAGCAATCGGAAACAAAATTCACGTCGTGCAGAATCGTAGGTATACACATAGCATGGGTGTACCGAACATATTCGAAACATTTAATGACAATATTTCTGTTTAACTAATTCGTGAAAAATGTTTTTTATCTTTAGGTTTCTAGCAGTTAAGTGTTGTAGGTTGAGGGTCTGCACTTGGCTCTATGTGGGTTAAAACCTAGTTACCCAGTACTTTTCTACAATGTTTCATCAAAATCGATTCGCGACGAATCGCGTGTTTCTCTTGCCAAATAATCTGTGATATGTTTGTACATTGCGATAAAATTAATAGAGTGTAATATACATTATAAACAATTGTAGAAGAATGAGAAAATTCGAACCTTCGATTTAATAATTGTATTCGATTCAATTCAATTGAACACATTTTCTGAATAGTTTTTTCTCTGAAAAACTTATAATCTGAAAAGACGTAGTTAATTGTGCTAGATAAAGATTACAATAATCTATTGTAAATGTGCAACAATAATGCGTAGAAAATATTTACTGTGACTTTAAAAAAGATTCGTACATGCAGTAATCTCTTCCTAAAAGACGCAGGGTCGGAATTGAAACCGACAGCTATGAGAATAAGTAAGTCGTGATTTTTCGAGCCTCGCGGCTCGCCTTTATATTTATCGCCAACGCCTCGTGAGAAAAAGAGAGAACGAAATTTGGGGCGAGAATGAAACTATGTACTTGAAAAGACAGCGGCCAGCATGCTGGTGTATATTACTATGAATATATACATTGTAACGTTAGAATAAAAAAACGATGACTTAGCTATTTTATTTCTAATTTTTTATACATGAAAATTTTATACACGAAAATGATTTTTCATGGGATTGTGAACAATGAATTATGTAGGGCATTCGAGACAATGACATCTCACAGTGCAAGAACACCACCTTGCATACAATGCACGGTGCAGGTATTGAAATTATTTTTCTTAGGCAAGGAAAATTAAATAAGTAAGTATGGACGTATTCATACAATGGTAATAAAACAAAATAAACACAAAACAATTCATTATAGAATATTCTTTTTCACGTATCTAATTAGTATATGCATAATTACTTATAATATCAATGTAACTTTTTAATGTGTACATAATCATTATGACACTTGTGGTGAATAGATTGCTTTAGTATATTAGAAATACACTGCACAGTTATTATTTATACGTATAACAATGTATTTTTCTTATATAGTCACAGCGATAATGGAGTAAAATGAATTACACAATAAGTATTAAATAAATAAATGTAATCAGAATTATATCGTGTTCTCGATTTTATTTTTTACAGAAACATTTGCCCAAACTGTACTATGTTTGGTCTCATTTTAATCAGGAAACTATCAGCAATATGTGAAAAAAAATCAGTTCTAAAATATAAAAATTAGGAAAAGTGTATAAATATGTCATTGTACTATGAATTTCCTTCCGGAAATTTGAGTCAAAGGAGCCGCGGCGCGTGCCGCAACACACGTGTTCACTGACTCCGTCGCACCTTAGCATCGTCGTAGCGAGAAAATCGATAAATTACAGGGCCGTAGCGAAAGCACCGCACCATTCATAGCACACAAGATTTTGACATTTGGGGAGAGATTACTGTATTTTAAAACTGGACCAAACGACGTGAATTTGTTTGACATGTTAGAGAGACTGGTTTACTAGAAAATGTTGAAAAAAAGATGTGCAAGAGTTGCAATTGGTTGCAATAACAGAAAACAAAAATATGTTATGTTTTCTCAATGTTATTATCCGAGCCTATAACGAATGCCCTTGCATCATTTTCAGCGAATATTATAACGTTCGATAGCTGACCGAGAGAAATCTCTCTGCGCAAAATTTCAACCTTGTAGCATGCCGCGAGGGTAGCTACAGGGTAAATTAGGTCGCGCGTTTTTCCAGTCATTTTTCCCTTTTCCGCTGCTTTTAGAAATTAAAGAAATATCTCGAATATTTCAGATCACCAACTGCGTATTACAGAATTTGCTGAGAGTTTTTTTGCCACAAACTGCGATCATACAAAATAATGCACCGAAAGAATCGAAAAATTGCAGATGTGTATTTTGAAATTATACTACAAATTATACTACAAAAAATTATACTATTTTCATATTAATTTCCTAATAGGATACCAACATAGCCAGTATTCTCAATTTTTTTTTCAGATATTTTGTTTAGGTGCACCATAATCGAACAATAGAAAAACCGAATTTATCGATGTTTTTGCTGTGGTGCATGAAGCTATATTTGTTGGTTTTATTCAATGACTATATTTGATAATGTTAAACATTTTTCTTTTGTCTCGAATATAATTTTTTAGGTTCGTTTGCAAAAACGTTTAACATTAGCTAATATAATCACTGAATAGAACCGACTACTTATAATTTTCCTATTAGTTTACCGCGGTGAAAACATCGACAAATTCAGTTTTTATCTTTTTTTAATTAGTCCACAAACAATCTGAAACAAAAAATTTGAAGAAGTCGTACGCGACTCGCGAGCCACAGATTGTCGAGGCCTAGTCTACAATAGCAAAATTTCAAAAAATTCTCTAACATGCGGTATATTAATCCTGTAACTATCCTTATTGGTAAGCAACAGGGTTGAAATTTTGTCCAAAGTGCCTTTCTCTTAGTCAAATATATTCGTTGAAAAATCTGTAAGGGTAGATAGACCATATTATACGACTGGGCTCTTCCGTTAAAAGTTTTCTTCAGAATAACATGCTTTCTGTTTCAGATATTCATGACGAAGTGATTTTGCAATCGTTGAAAAGAGCACTCTCATCTCAAAATGATTTTAACATTCTTGTATGCAATAGCAACTTCAATTCAATCCAGACGGATCTTGTTTTTAAAGGCACATTTGCGTAATCTATTTCAAGGAAATATATCTAACTATCCATCAATCATGTTTTATAATAAAACAGTAGTAGATTCGCGTAAAGGTAATATTTTTATAAATCTTCCTCTATTTTATATTATTTACCATTTGATTTGATTAGAAAAAAATCGTGCACAGTTCTAAACTAATTAAGTATACTTTAAACTGATTCAACATTGTTGCATTTAAGAACGTAGTTAATATTTGATGTAACTCCTGTACCATTTAAGCATTTCACAATCTAGAGTTTTTGGAAGGGGATGGCTTATTGTAAGTTATTCTGTTGAATGTTTAAAAAACAAATCATGAAGCTTTCAGGTAGGTTAAATGAAGCTAATTCAAGGTAGGAAAGATGAAATAGTTGGAATATTTTAATATCTGCTGTCACTCTGTTATTTTTCCAAGCTTTTCTTATCACTCTTTTTATTATTATTCTTCCCTTCTCCATTTCTGCTTTCGCAGTAGTCACAGTTTGTTATCTATTCCTTTATCTATCATACTTCTCATTCTGTACCTTTCATATATTTCACCATTCTTTTGTCTTGTTCTTTTTCTGTATTTCTTCTGTTCCTTATCTTTTTCTGTTTTCCATCAATAATTTTCATTTTGCCCCATTATCTTATAATAAACACCTTCAACATGCGCACTTTGATACACACTTTATCTGTACTCTTCTTCTTTAAACAATGGAAGTCCGTAAATTTAACTTCTTCTCCATATTCGTCGCTTTCATTCTAACTGTAGACTTTTCTTATTTATGTTTATGCTTCTTCAACATTTTATGTATACTTATTAATATTATTATTTCTAATGTTATATATTTTCTAATGGGTGGCCCGCATGCGAACGTTTTATTACACTAACGTCATACACATATAAATTCATTAACCTACGATACTATTTAAAATAACATAAAAAAGTGACTGCAATAGGCATTAAAACGGTGATATTAGTTGGTGATGGTGAATTATAAACGATATAAAATAGCTTTTTTCATTGCCACCTATTTAGCCTAATATCCAAGGAAATTAGTTAATTCGTCGTT